AAGCATCTTTTTTTTTTTTTTATTTATGTTGTACTGTTTATAATATTTGAGTAAGCTGTTCCGATCAACTTTGAACTATCGTTTTATTATTGTTATTTGCTTTTATACGTGAATTCTGAACCAATTTAGTGTTGTGCGTATCCGATGGCAGAGAGAAATCTCGATGCACCGGGACGTGTCAGTGACCGCCATGCTAACGACCATCATGTTGATGATGTGCCCATATCAGATATTACACCGAATCGGCCTGTCACTCGTCGTAGAACAAAGCTACCTTCAGTACAAAAAAGCGTTACGACCGCACGGTCCAGTAACCCACAAGAAGGTAACTATTTATGAAATATCTATATGACTAGTTGTCATGTGATTACAATACGTGGCTATTTACATATACACGACTGCCCGGGATTCGATTTCTCATGTTTCACTTTCATATGCGTCAATTTAATCATTGTCATTAATATGTTAACTCTTTCTTGTTTATAAGCTTATTAATTCTTATCATCGTTTATTCCGTTTATTGTTTGTTTGAATAAACTATCCGTTTATTAGCGTTCTTTGCTTTTATACGTGCGTTCTCAACAATTGAGCGTTGTACATATTCAGTGCCGAATCAAACTCCCGATGCACCAGAACGTGTCAGCGACCATCCTGCCAATGATGTACCCATAACAGAGATTACACCCACCCGGTCTGCCGCTCGACGTAGCACAAGACCACCTTCCGTACAACAAAGCGATACGACCGCAAAGTCCAGTAACCCACAACAAGGTGTCTATTTATGAAATCTCTATATGAATAACTGTCCTGCGACTACAATATGTGGCTATGTACATCTACACGACTGATCGGGGTTTAATACTTGTCATTAATATATTAATTATTTGTTGTTTATAAGTTTTCTTATCAGATATTGAATGTTTTAATTTAGTTGGCATAATGTAAATGGTTTATCACTTAATGTGTAATTATTTGCTCTAATATATGTATCGTGCAGATATCAACAACAATTCGGATGATCGTCTAACTGGAAAATCGTGCGATAAAGGTCATTACGTTATTTTTCTAAGAAATTTTGTGTTATTTTCTATATGCTATCTATATGTGGCTTGTGTTAATATACACGAGCATTGAAAGTTTAATAAATTCAAATACCTGCTAGCACCAACTGTACGTAATATGCTGGTATAATGTTTGATAAAACGCAGCAAGCAAGCGTAAGATTGTCGCACCGAATCAAGCAGCGGGACACGCGAAGCGCGTGAAAATGGCAATCCATCCAGAAAGTGAGGGCGCCAATCAAACACAAACAGAATGTTGCCAAGAAACGACAACGAGAGACGGTATAAAGTCTTACGTCTCATGTGCTCTATATTTGTTTTTATTTCATAACACTAGATTGTATAAAAGTTTATATATCTTACAGGTAATGTAAGAGTGCAACAGACCATCAACGAAAAAGGTGGTACGCATACACTTGAAGATACTCGGGCAGTAACCGATGATGCACTTCCAACCATCCACACGCGAACATCACCAGCCATATTCGTGAAGGCGATGTTCGGTTTGTCTGAGGACTAGAGACTTGCAGTCCGTGATATGGGATTTGGAAGCTTGCTCGATTTGACGATAACAGCAACCCCGGTGAAAATGGGATATTGGCTGGTTGATAACTTCAACCATATGGACCGGAAGTTGCAATTGTATAATGGTGGAAAAATTCATGTGAAAGAAGATGATGCGTATAGTGTGATGGGGCTGCCCCGTGGGACTATTGAGGTCACGAATCGGAAGAAAAAAACTGAGTCGGGAGCATTGAAAGAATGGGCCGATGTGTACAGTGTCAGCATTGCCACCAAAATAACGGCTACAAGGGTGTTGGACATGATTCAGAACTGTGATAGAAGTGACGACTGGTTCAAACGTCATTTTTTGGTTCTCATGATCACGTGTTTGTTCGAGAGCTCTCAGAACGAAGTGGCGAATTTACGCACGGTCCACTTGCTCGATGATTTGTCGAATGTGAGCAATATGAACTGGTGTGCGTACATGATTCGGTGTCTGGTGGGTGCTAAAAAATCATCGACTGCTAGTCAGAAGCGCAAGAATTTTACTGGACCTTTGCTATTTTTGACGGTACGTGCATTCGGCTCTTGATGACGTTTATTATATGTACTTTATTAGTTTCCTCGTTTTTTAGTCGTTTAGTTATTTACTTGATTTTATTGTGGTCTTTTGATTGTGCAGCTGTTTTATGTCGATAAGGTTGTGTTATCGATTAGAACCGTACCGAGATCACTACCGATTTTTAAATCATGGAATAACGGCTTGCTGAAAGCGAGAGAGCGAGATGAGATTGCGGCTGGAGCATTTGGGAGAAGATATGTTGATGACGACATACATGAGTCGGATGTTCATCACCACGCCGACATACGTAGTGGTAGCCCCATCGGGAATGACGTGAACCGTGCGTCTGAAGTAAGCGTGCAGGTAAGTTTATATATCAATTGGTTTTCTCCTGTGTTTTCATTTTATTTCTATTTATTTATTTATTTATTTTTTATTTTGTTTTCAGTGCAACAACCGCATAACATTTGTGCAATGTGTGTAGTTATTTGGTGCAGTCTGATATTGTTGAGTCCATATGATGCTGTACGAACTATTTTTTTTTGCATCCTATGAATTTGCATTGTCGTATACACGTCTAAATGATTTATTTTACCCTTTTAGTTGTTTCAGCCGTTTATGTATGAATTTGCATCACATGATCCTATAATTTTTGTGTTATTCCACCCATGATATATTTCGTCGATTGAGGTGGATATGTAGTGTAGTATTGCCGGTTTGTGTCTCGTACTGATTGTCTAAATTTTTGTTGTCTAATTGCTCGTTTTTTTCTTATGTTTACAGTTTCATGAATCGTTGCATGTTTTATACTTCATGTATAATTGGTTCAACCGGATGCACTGTAAAGTTCAACCTGTACAGTAATTATGTGCAACTGATACCAATAGTGTCTACGTGTTTTGGATATTTGATACGATTTATATGTGACATATAGGCGGTGCAACCGTATACATGGAACAGTGCATGTTGTCTATTAATAATGTGCAACCGTTAACAGTGACGTATATGATCTTGTCCGTGGTGATATGTTCAATATGGATATGTATTGTGATTTTATCAGAGCATAATTTGTATTTTTTTTGTCTTGATCGTTGCTTTATACTTGCTCATTTACTTTATGATTACATGATTCTTCAAATTGTCAGTTATTTTTGGTATGCTCTATATGTGATGGATAATCGGTGCATCCGTATACACATAATGGTGCAGCCTGTCGAGTATTTATGTGCAACCAGTAACAGTTATGTATATGTGTTTATCATACGATATCGTGCGTGTTACTATGACTGTGTGTGTTTCTAATTTAATTTTTTTTCTTTATTTTTGTTTTTATTTTTGCATAATAACAGGATTTTGTGCACGAATTTGCATCAAAAGCCCGTATTCTTGCCACTACGGGTGTTGCAATTTTACAGCTGGTCGAGAGGGCGCCTAAAGATTTATTAGGCGATGAGAATTTTATGAAGATGCGGGGTGCCACACAGAAGCTACTTGGGGTGACTAATGAAGACATAAAAGGAATGTCTCGTCAACAAACCCCCAGCTGCATTGACGAAACTAACGTTCCCGGACCAACACAGATAGTGGATGATGCATTCTGGAACGACCCCAAGAATCTGACTGCGTTAGATGCTATTATCGATGCTGTTGCGCATCGAGACCGTTTTAAACGGATTCATCATGAAGGCCCCAGTTTTAGCTTGGGCTTGGGACTTACGCCGGATGATGATGATGCTGATGCAGGACGTTTTGATAATGTCAATGAATTCACTACTGACGGTCCTTCCAATGTAGACGTGCCATCAGGTACTTCGAGTCAATCATAACACGTTTATAACTATCTCATCTGATTGTTGTTGTATACATGCGTTTGATGACATACATTTTTTTACCCTTTTCTTCATTTTTTTTTTGTTTTTCAAGCTGATCATGATGCGATGGTTAATAAACCGGTCGCTTTTACATTTCCCGATTGCGTGCAAAGTATAAATGGTATACATTTTATATATTCAATTATTTTTTATATCGTTCGTTCTGTTCGTATTTAAGTGCTTCATATGTGTTGACTAGGCGTCGGAGGTGATGCAATTGTTGATGGTCATGTCGTTGATGTTGGTAGACCAAAAAGGAGCCCCAAGTTTTCCAGCATGGTTAGATCACCTTTCCACCAAAGGTATATTGGCGTGGTCAAGAATCTCGACAGCCAGGAAAAGACGGTCGTTAACTGGGTTTTGCAAAAAGATAACGAGTAAGATATATGTTGTGCCATTGTGTTTTTCTTTTTGTGCGATCAACTTTATTATTCATTGCAATTATTTATTATGTCATTTTTTGTTGTGTTGTTAATGTTTTTATACACAGCGATGTGATTATATATCAGACCTTGTCCCTCGATTATGTTGTGAAGAGAGATGTGGTGGCATGTTTGGCCCCAAACACGCCAATCCTTGAGGCGCTTATTGATCTGTGGGCTCGTATAATGAACAACAATGAGAAGCTCGGGATTCGTGGCTCAGTAGCGTGTTTCTTTTGCAACCACTCGTCCGTGTAATGAGGTGCATTGTGATATGTTTATGTTGTATTGGAAGCATACTTATGATATTTTGATCTACTTTGTTGTTTCAGTAATACTTATGATAAAATTTTGTGAATATCAGCTGTTTTTTAAGGGAAAGAGAAAGAAGGACATAAATTACAAAAAGTTCGTGGAGAGGCTAGATTCAGATATCGGTCGGATGTGTGGACATAACTAGAAGAAAGTTGCATTGGTATCTCGAATTATTGCATTTTAATTCTCGATTATAGTGAGCTGTGTTACATTATAACCGTCTGGTCCTTTGTTTAAATTACAGTATGTGTTCCCCGTGCACTCTGGTGGTTTTAGTGGGTTGATTTGCATTTCCCCGAAAAATCAGAAGTTATATATATTGGATAGCGCCGGCTTTTGTAAAGATTCCTCCATCAAGAAACTCGTCTCGTCAAATGCTACTATCTTGGTAATATCTATATTCACTTGTAGAAAGTAAATTATTTTCTTTATCACGCAACGACTTTGTCTTGTTTTGTCCTTGTATCGTTGTTGTACTTCCTTTTTTTTTCACGCATCTGTGATACATGATAATTTGTGTATTTGTTGCAGCGGCAATCTCTCGCAAAGTACATAGGACACACGAGTATGTCAAAATCTTCAAAAGCGGTCGCACTATCGATGTCGGACTTCGTTGATCTGCTGTGGACTGGAGGTGTTGATGTTGTAGATGCCGGCGTCGTAACAATGCGTCACATGGAGACATTCAAAGGATGCATCACGCCACATTGGAATCCGGACATGAAGAGGGCTGACAAGAGGCAGATCGACCTCATGAGGAGGCGATATTGCTATGTCATTGCGTTCGCTCCATATAACAAGTTGAAAGATGATAACCTCGCTCAGTCAAAGAGGTTCCAGTTGAAGAACGGCGATATTGTGTGATGGGTCGTTTGTTATTTGGACAAGTTCGTCATATTGTTGGATTGTTTTGTTTAACTATATGTATGCGTAGGACGTAACGCTTGGTACATCTGTCACTTGATGTTTGATTCTAGCACTATTTGTTTTGGATGAATATGCTAGTATTCTGTTATGTTTTGCTATTATGATTTGCTTTCGTCGTTTCTTGGTATGTTGGCGCATCAATGTATATATATATATATAGTCGGTTTTGTTGTTTTGTTGTGTATTATCGGACAGAACTATCGTCATTACGTGTGTGTGGTGAGCGCGTTGATACATGGCGGCATTTAATTACGCAAAGTGCAATGGAGGGTTGTATATTGTGCAATGGTCCAACATATAAAGTGCGACTGTTGTGTTGTCGATATGTTGTAATAACATCAAATTATATTGTATTGATATAAGCATTTACGTGTTTGTATTAGGTCTGTTTGTATTAGGTCATTATATTGAATGATTTTGTAATCGTGTAATCATATCGGTGAAAAAGTGCAGTCGTTTGTATTAGAAGTGCGACATAACGTTCATAAAAGTGTAATGTATTATATAAAATATGCGATATACATATTGTATCCGTGGTCGACGTGCACGTCGAATTACCATATAAACGCCCCAACGACACACATATTGATGAGTCAATAACATTGCAAAGGATAATGAAAATAAATGTCGTAAAATTCAAGACAATAAGCGATTGCTACATAGAGCAATATTTGTCAAACAACCTGCCACACGTCTCTACATTGACTAAAAAATAATAAATAAATAAATAAAAAAAATGTCATTAAACTAAATGTTCAAGATTAATACAATCATCCGCTTGTAGCCTCGCTTGTCGCCTGTGTCTGCATTTTTTATATATACATACATATATATGTTAATATTAAGTCATCACATTTAATACGCATATATTAGAGTATCAGACGAATATTTGTTCATTTACCTCTGTGGGGTTTGATATGTATGTTTGTTGCTTCTTGGGACACGTACGTGCGTTATGGCCTGCCATTTCACCACATGACTTGCACGTCCTTTATTTCTTTTGCGACCCTTCAATCCCTTTCTCCTTCGCACTTTTTAGTCTTTTCCGCTACCTTTGTTCTTGGATTGAGTCGGTGGGTGAATGTTTATCTCTTGAGGAGCGGCCATGCCGACGAATGATTCAAATTGATGTTCTTTTCCAATGTGCATAGCATCCCCAACATCCTCTGTTCATGTTGAGCATCATAAATTATATTCTCAATGAAGTGCAAAGACTTGTGTCATAATGTGCAATGCGTATATATATAAAGGGCAATACTGTAACTTAAATAGTGAAAATGTTTATGTGTATTTTTACCATCGATTGTTGCCTCCCATTGTGTTTGAGCAGCAGACAATAGCTTAATCTTGTATGCTTCGACGATTTTGAAAAAATCAATGAGGTGGTCGACATGAGGCTCGGCTAATCCAACGCATATATGTATATCCGACCATAGTTTGCTCAACAAGCGCTTTATATCATCGGCTTGGGCACATTGTGCATCAATGTTATCGAGAACGTGAAACATGGGATTACTAATTGCCTGCTTCGTCCATCTCGACATGACATATGCTGACAGAATGAGATTGAAGCCCAGATCTTTGAGTACAACAAACACGTGTCTACACAGCCACCCGTACAACTCGAAGTGCTTGCACGAACACGTAGACGTAGTTAGGACCATGTCGTGAACGACAGTGAATGATTTTCCATTCGTCTCTTTGATTATGAATTCCATATGCCCTTCACTTTCAGTCACGTTCAATACGCGGCAGGTGTAACATGCTGCACATATCTCATCATGTACGCGATAGAACGAGGTTATCGTGTAAACAGACATCGCGTGCCTCTCAATTGGCAAAGGTGTCTTCAACTTAGCAATTCGCGACTCACTGTCGTTTTGTAGCTTGACTGTCACGTTTCGCTGCGCGTCCATCGCACTCTCGAAATGTAATAAGAACTCGACTAAGCTAGAATGGTTACTCGTGAAATGACCGAACCAACTGTTCTCACTCTCGGACCTTGATGTTGTTCTCATCAATCCGCTCATTTTGACATCTCTGAAAAATGCTGGAATCCAAATTTCCCTTTTTGCAAATAGATCATTAAACCAGTTGTGTGTTTCCAGCATATAGTCTCTCATGATTGCCGCCCATTTAGCCTCAAATTCATCAGGCTTTATAGTTCGATCCCAGACAATTTCGTTAAGCCTCCGCCTGAATTCTAAATCGTTACCTATTGAATGGCCGACCTTGTCGCATAATTTATTCATTATATGCCACATGCAAAATCGGTGTTTGCAAGTTTCGAATACCTTAGAAACGCAATGCCGATCGAGGGATCTTGGTCAGTGACAATATATTCGGGTTAGTGCATCATTGCATCTTTGAAATTCTTGAACACCCATTCATAAGAGCCCACGTCCTCTTTTGATATTAACGCGGCGGCAAATGTAACGCACTTGTTGTGGTTATCAATTCCGGTAAAAGGTGCAAACACCATGTTGTACCTACACGTTGAGCAATTTGGTTTAGTTCACAGATGAGAAAGTTTATATTGTGCAACCAGAAAACATAAGAGGTGCAATTACTAAATGTATAAAGTGCAATTACTTATGGCATAAAGTGCATTTACTAATTACATAGTGTGCTATTACTTTTATTACTGTTGACCAGTGCGAAATTATTATTGAACGGAAATTATTATTGAACTGACAAACTACATTGGAAAAAATATGTGTGAAATTTATGCCAACTTGTTGGTGTTGTACGTCGCATCAAATGACACAACATCACCAAACGAACCGTAGTTCCTCCTTGAA